GTGTGTGTCGGGGGAGGGGGTGCTTGATTCTGTAGACCAGCCAAATATTTTGGGATAGAAATAGCAGAATGTATGTTTTCTTCCAATATTGCTGGCCTTTGATTTCTGAGATGGTGGTAGAAAAATAGTCAACTGCCATTTCCCCAAATTAGCTCAACTCTGCATGGGATCCCAGGGTACATGTGCCTTTTTCTGCAGGTGGTTCCTCCTCTTTGCCAGGGGAAACCTCAGCTGCCCTTTTCTCTAACCCAAGGCAGAGTAGCCAGTGGTTGTGATTCAGCTGATTTAATGTTCCCACCCTCATTCTTTCTGACATTTATCTTAACAGGCCACATTAAACTCCAAAGACTCATAAAGGTTCTTGGGGTTTTTAGCAGTTACAGCATCTGATGTCAGCCGAATATCACAGGCCCCGTGTTAATACCAGCTTTCTCTGTGCATGGTCATCCTGGGGATGCAGTGATGGTGCTGCTTGCTGCCTACACAGCACAGCTACAAAAGCCACTTTTGGATGGTGGATTGACAGCTTTACAGATTATTACAGACTTACAACTTCAATAAGTGTCCCAGATGACTCTTAATCACATTCATACTTGATTGAGATCTGTCTTTCTAAAAGATTCAGGAGTGTCTGTTTTTAATTACTAAATAGGTACCTGAAACTCATTCAGCATAACTATGAATCTGGGCAGTGTTTTTTGAATATTGATGATTCCAGGCATGTGTTAAGGGCTTTATAGGAATCTCTCATTTATCTGACATGTCAGAAAGGTTCGTACATTAGATACTTTAAATACTCAAGAAATGATTGATGGAAATAAACTCTCTTTTGAAAGAGGAATAATTAGCCCCCACTTTATGTTATTCAAATGTTTTATACATTAAGATGTCTCATGTATAGCTACTCAAACAAAGCCTGTGGCTTTAAAATGGCTGTGGCTTTAAACAATACAGTTGATAATTCAAGTAAGACAGAATTTAGAATAAGCCAAGAAAGCCAGCATAATTTTTTAGTCAAGGATGATGTTTAAATTTATGAACTTCTGATAACCAAACTAACCTCTCACTTAGTCATGAAGGTCACTGGAGTTTATAGCAGCTGTGGAATTGGAGGTGAAGAGTCTGATCCTCCACCCTCTCCCCTCAGATTAGACATTATTGGAGGATAGTATGAGGTAGCCAGAGAATGTGTGAAGTTCACCTTCTTCACTTGGGCCTGTCCCTAAACCTTGCCTTAGTTGGGGGAGACTTTCATATCTAGGCTTTGAAGTTCTCATGTGTCTGTATCATTTTAAAATAACATTTTAGAATAAATGTTTTAGATGTAGATTTGCCTTTGAGGAGATATGAGTCTTTGAGGGATATTAGTTCATGTAGATGACTTTATATTTTTTAAGATTTATTTTTATATATTTGTGCATATAAGAACTGGGGTACAGTCCAGAGGAGTGAGGGTGGGAAGGGGTGAGAGGATTTACTGGAGACAGAATGGGGAGCAGAACAGACAGACCTACTGAAACACAATCCTGAGGGGAACAGTGGTGACACAGGAGAGGTCTGCTGTGCCATGTGAGTTAGCTTCCTGGCTGGGGATCGAATTCAGGCCTCAGTGGCTGGCAATAGCTTCAGAGCACTGAGACTTTAACTCCTGTGTCCCCAGGGAGGCATCTGTAGACAATTTTAGGTATACTACTGAATATATATTATCGATAACCTAAACTTATTTTACGATTTCCCTATCAGTCTGGAGTTGAGAAAAAGGGACCGTGTTCTGTATCACGACTCAGAGCAGTCAAGTGATATGCCAAAAGAAAGAAGGTTCATTTTCTCATGTTTTTTAAAGTCAAGTAAAATGATGAATACTAGTTATAGTGAGTGGATGAGTAATTTACCACAATGAGGGGGAAAGCCATCAGGGGAATCAGAGAATTTGTGTTTCAGGCCAGTTGAGTCTCAGAAAATAAGCTGACACTCTCCAAGAATAATGAATGGTCTTTCCTGAAATGGTTAAATAAATAAGGTCTGTCGTCTGGTTTTACACAGTCTGACTCCCAGATACGGCTTAATGCTGACTGGAGAATCTAAAGGAGGGCAAAATAAATAAAAAAAGAGCATTAATGCTCTACCACTTTTAGCAAGAGCTGTGCACATATTTATTTCTACTTCTAGATCACTGAACAAGTACAGCTTAACTGTTAGCTCAATCCAGTGCTTTTCTTCTTACTGCTTTTCACTCCTTGGGGGCAGAAGGGAGCAGTGGTAGGTCCAGGGAAAGAATGATGGATCCGCTTAACATTTCAGCAAAAAAAGGCAAGTGGATCAATCAGCTCATGTGATTGTTAGGGAATAGGGAGGTACTTTCTGGGAGAGGAATTTGCTGTTAAGGGCTGAAAGAGTTTTTGAGTTATTTATGGCTTTTACTTTTTGTGATTTTTTTTTTTTTTGATTACTCATGATCCTGAAAAGTGAGAGCTAACAAGGAAACAATAACTTTCCAAAACCAGTTGTCATTGTGGTATCTGTCTCCTCACACAGAAGAGGGCTATCCCTTAGGCTAAATTGACCAGTTGGAGAGAGAGATGGGTCAAACAAGAAACAACCTGCTTTCTGATTTAGCTGCCCAAGTGGATGGATTGGTGTCTCTGTCACCTTCCCCTGTTACAACATAAGACAGACGGACGACTATTTCTCTTTCTTTGAAAAAGTAATGTCATGTAAAACCCAGCATACGGCCCTCCCTGGTGGCGCAGCGGGTTAAAGCACAGCACAAAGAAGCTTGAGCCACTTCCGCATGAGTTCGATCCCCGCCTGCCCCGGGGGTGACCACATGGCGTGGCAGACCTCTCCTGACCCGCCCGCTGCTCCCCTCAGCAGTGTACTTGGTCGGTCTGCCTGTTCTGCTCCCCACTCTGTCTCTGGTGAAGCCTCTCACCCTCCGCATCTCTGGCCTGTACCCCAGTTCTGTATGAATAAATAAATAAATCTTTAAAAACAAAACAAAACAAAACAAAACAAAAAAACCAGCATAGGCACACACATTAGCTGATATTCCAAAGAGAAGTTAGAAGCATAAACTGGGGCGACAACTCAAGAAAGGGGGGCATGCTCTAGGGGCTCCCACCTTTTACTTACGCTGTGTCTTTGCAAAGCATAAAGCCAAAGAAGGTTTAATCAGAAATCTGTTTCTTACCCACAGGACAGAGCTTCATTTTTTTTGGAAAAGTAAAACACTAGTTCTCCTGATACAAAGACACATGATGTCGTGTCGCAGAAAGACAGTATTAACTACAATTAAAGAACACTTGCTTCTAATTCTGAGTTTCTGTCTCACTTATCTCCCAGATAGGTCTGCTCTTAAGGAAAGAGAAGAACCTGCATCTCACTCCCATGTAGGCTGATTTGAACATTTTCAAGACTCTCTACCTCTTCTCCTTGTGCCTTCCTATACTGTTCTCCTCCACTCACACTCCTTCATTTTTGATTTTATCTCCAGCTGTGGTCATTAAAATGTCTCCTTGATTGAAATTTCCTTTCCATTTCCTGGTACTGGAGATGGGCCTCGACTGAAATGTTGAAAAGCAAAGTTTCACTTTTGTTTCTGACTTTTCCCCTGCAGGTGACCCCGGAGGAGTTCATGAACTACTATGCTGGGGTGAGCGCATCCATTGACACGGATGTGTATTTCATTGTCATGATGAGAACTGCCTGGAAGCTCTAAAGTATGACCTGTGTTCCAGGGACTTGGGCACAATCACGTGTCTCCACATGATTAAACATCAGCTTAAAACCAGGATTTTATTGTTTTCATGTTCATCCCCTGTCAACACTCACTGCAT